GTAGTGAGCAGGGCCACAGAGCCTTTAGGCAGCAAAAGAGCATCCTGAAGGTCTGAACCAGACATCACGACGAGGGAGGCCTTGGACAACGTAAGGACACCGTTGTGTTCTGCATGCGCCTGGACCCATTTCAGGAATCTGGCCTTGGCCTCCTGTGTTGAATACAGAAGAGAGGACATCAGTTTGGTTTTGTTTTACAGACTGTCAGTAGTTTAAATTGCTTTAGGACTTATGCACAACCACAGTGGTATATCTTAATCATTCCGGTCCGTTTTAAGTTAAGAAGTGTGTTTAAGAAGGGCACAAGTCACCATCAAGTGCAGATCTACTACGGAGATGCTCTGTCCACACTGCTGTCCTGCGCAGGCCCAACCCCCTCAGTGAGATCAGCAATCACCTCCCTCTACATGGATGACATCAAGCTATATGCAGCTAGTGAACGAGACACCGCCGCTCGCCAAGTTTAAAGTCGCTGCACCGAGTGCTCTGATTACCACGGGGACCACTGTTACCTTCACCCTCCACATCTTCTCGAGGTCTTTTCTCTTTTCTTCCCTTCGTCCTGACGTTGCACTCATTCAGCATCGCTACATCTATCACTAAGGTCGTCTCCCCCTGAGCTGCCTGCAAGGAAAGCTTCGACCACCACCTGCAGAGGCGGAGAAGGATGGCCGAGACTGGTTCTGCTGGAGATTCCTTCCTGTTAAAAGGGAGTTTTTCCTTCCCACTGTTGCCAAGTGCCTGCTCACAGGGGTTCGGTCTGATGGTTGGGCTTTTCTCTTTATTACTGCAGGGTTTTTAATCTACAATATAAAGTGCCTTGAGGTGATAGTTGCTGTGCTTCATAAATAAATATAATCTCGTCTTGATATCATCCAGGAGTGTGATCAGGTCAGAAACTGCAGATGGTACAGAACAGAGCCATATGAATGCTTCAGGACAAATATAAGGCATAAATGTCTTAACTGGTTGGCTATAAAACACATATTCATTTATTCTTTACTGATGTTTTCAGAAATATTATTTTTTACAAAGATTCTAATTATTTGTATAAAAATTTCAGTGTACACAGACATGAATATTCTGGCAGACAGGCTACAGGAGGCAGATTTTAATACCAACGGTAAAAACCAATAAAATGAACAGAACAGCTTTATACAAGACTAAGAATGAATGGACTCTGTTACCAATACAGTTAAGACGATATTTATTTGCTCTGGCCTAATTTATTAGGGGTGCAACGATACTCGTATCGATATTGAACCGTTCGATACAGTGCTTTCGGTTCGGTACGCATATGTATCGACCAATACAA